TGTGCTGACATAAAATATTTGAGGTTCTTGTGATCCTTATACACGGTGACTGGATTGGAAGTGCCTTCTAGATAATGACGCTATTCTTGAAAAGAATCTACAATTGCAAGAAGTTCTTTATCATGGATCTCATAATTGATTTTTGCTGCTAAGAATTTTCTTGAATGAAAGGCTACTGGATGAAGTTTGTCATCTATTCCCATTTGTGATAAAACCGCACCGAGAGCAAAGTCTGATGCATCTGTTTCCATAAAGAATGCTTTGGAAAAATCAACACAGTACAAGATTGGTGCAAAAATAAATGTTGTCTTCAAAGATTCAAAAGCAACTTCCATTTCTTGATTCCATTGGAGTTTGTCTTTACAATTCAAACGTATAAGTGGAGCTGCAACTCGAGAGAAGTCCTTGATGAAGATCCGATAGTAGTTGGCAAATCCCAAAAAGCATTGGACATCTCTCATCATTTTTGGAATCTTCCAATCTATAATAGTTTGAACTTTCTAAGGATCCATTATAAGTCCATCATTTGAAATGATGTAACCTAAGAAATCGACTTGAGTAGTGTGGAATACACACTTTTCTATCTTGGCATAGAGTCGTGCATCTCTTAATTTTTGTAACACATGACGAACATGAAGTTCATGTTCTTCTGGATTCTTAAAATAGATCAAGATGTCGTCTAGATAATAGACCTCAAAATCGTCCAAAAACTCTCAAAAAACATCATTCATTAGATGTTGAAAAGCTGTTGGTGCATTTATAAGTCCAAAAGGCATGATGTTGTATTCAAAATGTCCATACCTAGTTCGAAATGCACTCTTCCATTCATCTCCTTCTTTGATGCATACTAGATTGTATGCTCCCCGGAGATCTATTTTTCTGTAGATCTTACCTTGATTCAGCTGATCAAGAAGTCCAGATATTAAAGGTAGTCGATACCTGTTCTTGATGGCAATCTTGTTGAGTCTTCGATAATCAACACACATCCACAATGATCCATCTTTTTTCTTCACAAATAGAATTGGAGCTCCTGCCAAAGATTTAAAATGGCATATGAAATTTTTGGCGAGATTTTCTTCAATATACTCCTTGAGTTCAGTCAACTTATTTTGTGATAAACTATAGATTGGTCCGAATGGCGGTTGTGCTCCTTCTTGAAGGTCAATTGAGCAATCATAGGGACGATGTTCTAGGAGTGTATCCGCATTCTTTTTTTCGAATACATCTTAAAATTGTTGATATTGGCTGGGAATGCCACTTGAAGTCTTTTCACCAGTAGAAACAAGTTTGGCATAAATAATATATGGTGATTCTTTCATAGCACCATGCAAGAAAGCTTTTGCACCTATAAATACGGATTTAATTGAATTGGACTTATGACTCTTTACTTAATTAACTACATTGTTAGTTATACTTTTAGAGAAAGTAAGAGTTCGAGAAATCCAATCTATTTGAGGGTTGTATTTTTCTAACCACGATAAACCTAAAATGAGTGGATTAGAGGGAGATCTAATGATATTAAATACTACAAAGCTATTATGACCATTGATTATTACTTCTATAGGAAGGATTTCATGAATAATATCTCCAGAAGACAATGGACGACCATCTATGACTTCTATATGAACAGGTTTAGTTTTCTTTACTAAAGATATGCTATGTCTTTTAGTAAATTCTTCATCTAAGAAACACGCCGAGGCTCTTGAATCTAACAAGGTAGAGTCTTTGTAATATTTAGATCCTAAAATAATATTTAATGTAAAACAAGGAGAGGGCTCTGAGGAGAGAATAGGACCTTTACTAGATGTTGTGCAAGGTTTGAGCCGCACGGTCCCTATTGTAGCTAGACAAACTCGTTTTTTGACATATTATCTTCTTTCACAACCATACTCCTCATTTTGTGATTGCATCATTTATTTGGACAATGTTGAGCAGTGTGCTTTGATTCTCCACAATATAAACATAATCCTTCTTGACGATGATGAGTCTTTTCTTGTTCAGTAAGAGGTTTGAAATGTACTGCATCAATTTGCATATCCTCTACTTTCAAATGTATGTGTTGAAGAGGTGTTGGTATTGCCATTGAATTATAGTAACGTTGAGGTCCACTTGTACAGTTCTCAGATCGAAATTCAAAAAGGCGATTGTCGCACTTCATAGCAAAGTCAATTGTTTTGCTCAATGTTTGAGGATCAGGTAAATTGAGCATTAATTTTTTTACCTCATATTGTAATCCGTAGAAAAATTGGCTAATAAGTGTAGCATCATCTCACTTGATATCAGTTGCAAGTTGTCAAAATTATGAAGCATACAATATTACTGATCGATTGCCTTGTCGTAAAATATGGATTTTATTGATTGCAACACAAATTGCATCATGTTCTCTATACATGGATCGAAACTCCACCAGAAAAGCCTCTACATTATCCAATATTGGATCTTGTCGTTCAAGAAAAGATGAAAACGGTGATAGTGCTGAACTTGAAAGAAGCGTATCAATGAATCTAACTTGCGATCCTAGAGTTAGATAGCTTTGAGGTTGAAGTTCAATCACAAGTTGCACTTGATTGATAAATCCTCGAAACTTAGATCTGATGCCATCAAACTTCTTGGGTAGGGTAATTCTTGGTTCTCTAACATTGGAAGGACGTTCCACCATAGGAGAAAGGACATGGTTTGGTGCAGATGTTGAAGCAGCTCCAACCATTTCTGTATTTTCGCTTCTTGCCAATCTTATTGCTTCTTGTGGTGGTAAATTGAGTTGATGCATCGCAAGTACTAACTTCCTCAATTGCTCTTATATTTGTGCCATTGCACTCTTCATTTCAACAAGTTCTGCCATGATAACACTTAGAAAAGAGAAGATGTCTAATATTGCTCAAGACAAATAGAAGAAAGGACTTGAGAACAAAGAAAATACTAAGGACAATATCAGTTTAGAAGAGGATAATCTGTAACTTCTAATATGCTTATATCTTATCAAAAAAAAAGGGTAATTCACTCTTAATCAAGATTAGACAAAGCTCTGATATTGTAGGTGTACTCTTGTCAATCTGTCACGGATAAGAATTCGATGAAAAAGTAATTCAGATAAGTGAGCCTTCACTCAAAGAAAGGTAACAAAATATAAATAAACAAGTATGTATATTGAAAGAGAAACTGGAATGGCTATTGCTAAAAGACAAGAAAACTAGAGACCCTTGAAACTAGATTGGAATCAAGAAAAGAGTTGACAAGAGTGAAGAAGGCTTCACTCTTGTCTCTATATATACTATCTAACTAGGGGCTACATGGCGACGTTCTATAGGACCTCCAATATGTGTTGACTTTGTAGGACACATGCCTTGACTTACAAGGCAAGTTTTTCTACGTGTGGGCCACATAATTAGCTTAGTCTTCAAGCTAACAGCATGTGTGGTGCATGGCCAACTTATTGACCACGTTTCTAATCCAAAAAGTCAATTAAAGACACCTATGAAGTCAAAGTAGCGTCTATGAAGCTTTTAGGAAGCTTCCATATCAAATACTATAGAATTAACTTACTTTTATCTACTTGTATATGTAATTATGAGTATGTCCGTGACAAGAGTTCAAAGTGGAAGGAGTCTTAAATTCAAGACGCCACCAAAATGGTTGAAATATCTTGTTCATTGGCGTGGATGTGATATAAGTGAACGCACATAAGAACCAATAAAGAATCTTGCAAATGCAACAAAGAAGGTTGACTGCTCCTCGTAGAAGAGTATATATGGACACAAGAGTGAAGTCTTCTTCACTTTTAAGAGTATATATGGACACAAGAATATATCCTAGTTAAAGAGTATATATGGACACAAGAGTGAAATCTTCTTCACTTTTATCAACACCTTTCTAGTCCTTAGTCTTATTTCAAGACTTTCTAGTCTTCTTATTTTTGGCAATAGCCATTCTAGTTCAATATTATATCAACTTTGAGTGACTTTCTCGTTTCTTTTAGTGATACAAGAGTGTATTGAGGAATTTTTTTCTTTGAGATTCATGTCCTTGATATTAACTTGTAAGGCAAGTTTTTGACATGTATTCTATAAACCTAATTTTATTTTAATTATATTTTAAATTATATTAAATTAAATAATTATTATAATTATAATTTTAAAATATATTTTTCATTTTATTTTAAAATAAATTTATCCTATTTTTATTTTTTTATTATATTACATAGATAAATTTAACATTTTAGGACTTAAAAAATTAGTTAGAAAGTTTATTAGAAAATATTAGTTTAAAAAATAAATAAATAAATAAATAAATCTCGCTTTATTTTCTTGTAAAAACATGAAATGGTCCTTTTAATTGAAATCATAATAGTTCTATTAAGAATACTTTGGACTCAGAAAACACCACTTTCTGGTTCAATGGCAATCACTTTTTTCCCAAATCACTTGTACAAGTATCTTCAAATTTCATTTTCAAAAGTAAAAGCATACACCAATAAGCTTCCATTTTCTCAGCATATAATTCCGTATAAAACCACACAACTATAATCTTACAATTCTTGATTAGCAAAAAAATAAACAGAAAACAATTAATCAAATAAGTAAAGAAAGAGAAAAATGTAGTGAATACTACAGGACAAGCATTCACCACATTTTCCAACACTGCTGCACCCGTCCCATCCATCTATCCATTCATCCAACCTATTCTCATCCACCCCAAAGTTCATCTTTCTAAAAACTCATACGCCATTACATCAATCCTTCCATCTTCTTACCCATCCCGAAGTTCATTTGTCTGGTGTTCATCCATAAATAACATCCATCGAAAAGTGGATGAATACAGAGCAGAGAGACTAAAGTGGCAATTGCCTCTTCTGTCTCGTCAAAGCGCCATTGGCTGCTCCGAAGGCGTGGCAATGGCGGGTTTTGCAATGGAGAGCTCGAGCATTCGCCTCGTCTTGTGAGGGATTTACGGGACAAGGTTACGGTAAGGCAACACTAATTTCCCCTAATTAAGCAATAGATGTGTAAGAACAACAATTGAGTTTGTCCAGACTACAGACGTTTTTTCAAGGGGTTGCCGCAGAGACGACAACATGGATAATCCAGCCGTTGCGAGCAGCCGCTCTGAGCGCTTTGCAGTTTGCGAATCTGAAAGGACACGATCCGTTGAGTGCGCATCTGCCGATCCCTGTGCCGAGGATGCTAGTTCAGTGAAAGAGAGGCGGCAGTGCTGTGCAATCGTGTTGTTGCGGTCGTAAGATACGTATCCGGGTGGGTAACGGAGAGATCCATCGAAATGTAAGCAATCGGACGACAGTTTGAATGCTGACACCTATGATACTGTCTGGGCCCTGGCAGTTTGTCGCTCTACCCTGCTTCGAAGGACGTACTCTTGTGCGCGTATCACTGGCATCGATCATACGGTGCTGTTGTGCCCGTACTGGATTCCGCAGAGCAGTCAGACATCGCCATGTGTTAACATGACTTGTGTATGTAACTCTTGAGAAGTAGAAATGATGAGAGCTACGGCATCGCTACCGACACCTGCCCGTTGTGCCTGTTATTACGGAGAAAACGACCGAGGAGAATATCTTAGTTACGTCTTTGTTTGAAACTCTTATTGATGAGGCTAATTTTAGATGATTTAATCATTCCAAAACTTAGTGGGACCTTCTACCAGATTTTTGCTTTTAGAATACCAAGTTGTCAGCCTCTGCTTCACCCGTGCTTGATTGGCCTTCTTACTAGCTTCCTGCAGATATTACAGTTTGGATCATTTTGCTTTGCATTTGGCAGGTCTATCTGTGCCATCGCGTAGACTCATGTGCTGTCGCTGTATTGAGGGAGAGGCTTTGCCGTTTGTTTATCGATGTGCAAGTTGCTCTTACCGTTCGGGTCGGGTCTGTTTCCTAGCTGGAATGTTTTAGTCTGCATACAATCCCGCCGCCGTGAACGGTTGCAGGTTTCATTCTCTAATATCTGCATCTACCGACATAGCTGGTTTGCTTGTCAATCGAGTACAACCTTTCTTTCGTCTCGAGAGCACCGAAGTAAGCGGTAAGCTCCATAGTCGTTTTTAAAGATTTGAAGGGTCGAGTATTCAGCTCAGAGATTTTGATAAGTTATTTGCTTGGCCGATAACAACGTATCCAGTGTGAGAATTGGTGCGTGATGATAGCGCCCGGCCAACGTTCATCGTGTGCTCTCTTCCCGGTCCATTGCCAACTTGGTGCCAATGTATCGTCAGGGGTGATCGTTGTGATCAGGAACTGAAGTGTGTTGAGGGAGTGTCGTCTTTGGTTTATGTGCAGCATGTGTGTGCTGGTCGGTGGTGCGGGTGGCTATGAATTACACAAGAGTTGAGTACGTTAGGCCCAGCCGGAACCTTGGGAAACATACGCGTCTGTTTCTACAAATTGTCACACTTGTCGTCCAACCAAGGAATTTTATGGTGATATATTTTTTCCAACACTCGTCTGGAAATAGCACAGTCTTGCATGCCTTCTAATGCAATGGCTATTCCTTCCTATGCTGCACTGTTTTAGAGCAAGACCTGCGTGCTCATGCATAATATTAGCATTTAGTGACGTTCGCTCAAATTTGGTCGTTTGTGTAGAAAGAGAGTGGTGTTTGAGAGGGCGCTGCAGGGAGGATGTCCGTATTTGAAGAGCGCTTTGAGCAATTACTGAGCTGTAAAGATTGATGGCTGGAGTCGGCTGGGGTCGGCTGGAGCTATTTTATGCAGCAGGGCTAGATGAAGATTGATAGATTGGAGTAATTGTAACTGTAACAACTTTCCAACTATTTCTAGTTCCTAGGGTTGAGTTTGTTGGACGCACATGGAACACATCAAACCCTGTGCAAATATTTAGCCAAGCAAAATGAGCACAATCACTCAGGACTAGAAATGACGGTAGAAACGAATAATAAAGATCTAAAGGCAGCATGAGCACAGACTGTGTGAGATGGTCTCTGCGACCACCGGAGAGGCAGGTAGATGATGACATTGCGCAGCTCGTTGCTGCTCGAGATAGTCTTCACGCATCTTTAGGGAAGTCCCGAGAAGTGAGTTACCTGCTACACGAACGTTTACAAAATTTCCAAGAACGATTATCTCTAATTAGAAGAAACGCAGCCCCTGCCAATGAGGAGTCAAAGAGTACCATGGAACTCTCGCGCAGGATCGACAAAGCATCTCAATCTATCACGTCTATTCGGAAACTTTATAATGTATTCCACGACCTGAGGACGATTATCATGGGGGACCTGAGCTTGGACTTAAATGGTTATTTGGCGGGAGTTATGCAGCTAGAGGAAGCTCTGGATTACTACAGGCACGAGTTCGCTGCCGCTATAAGTTGCTTACAAGAAGCTGTGAACTTTCTGGAGACAACCTCGACGCATTCCCTGCGGCTTCGAAATATTCTCAGGAATTTGCAGGCTGAGCAAGCGGGTAAGTAATGTTTCAACAAAAGCCCTTCCCTTATCAATGTGAACGGTTCAAGTTGAGATTGCATGTAGCCAGAACCATAATGGGAACACGATAGGTGGTTCTTTCTTGCATGAGTTCCTCCAGCTTGTATAAGCTACCGATGGAATCGCTTCTTGGGTACAGACATTTTATCGAAGGTCTTCCTGTGTACGAGCTAGTAGAGTGCCATGTACACAAATTGAATCTCATATTATATATGAAGTGTTCATCTGTGGCGGTGCTGGTTATTAAGAACAGTATTGAAAACTTGGAAGCATCTTACTTGAATGTCCCTTCTTGTTTGCACCTCATCATTGTTTCCAGAAACTTATCATCATTTTGATGTGAATTGAAAGCTAAGTCACTCAGTCACGAGAGAGACTTGTTGTAAACTGCAGGAGATAAGTTCAATGGTGATTTGCTAATCGTTGCTCAGAAGAAGCTGGAAAATGAGTTCAGTCGTTTGCTGGCTGAGAATTGTTTGCCAGTGTCTCTTCCTACTCAAATGGGACCTCAAACTGAAGATGCCCCTTTCTCGTCCACTGAACTCGAGTATTTATTCGGTTTTCCTTCGGAGGCACTACAAAAGCTGCAAGTTATTATAACAAGACTGGCTGGAACCGAGCATTATAGTAGATGTTTGAAAGAGTACCAAGAGCGTCGAAGTGCTCAATGTCGACAAAGTTTGGAAGTGAGCCATTCTTCTAATTTTCCCTTTTGATTCGTCTTTTGAATAGATCTCTCTTATGAAGCACGGTTTGCATCAGGTCCGAATGAGTATATATTAAATGACAGGATGCTTGCGTTAGGATGTTTATGTCCATTAATTTCATGTCATAGTGCTCAGGGACTGTACTCTTTTTGAAATGACCAGAAAAACATTTCCACTTAGTTGAATTTGATCAAGTACTTGTAGCATACAAGTCTTTACACACCGGAAAATTACGGTAGAATGGAACCATTGGAGTTCAAAATTATGCAAAACTCAGTAACCTGCTCATGAACATTTGACTCGTATCACTGCAGGCTCTAGAGGTGGAGTACTCGCGGATTTCTGCTTCTGAACTAATCGATAAAGTAACATGGATTGATCTCCAGAACATAATTAAAAAATGGACCCAACAGCTGGAGGTGGTTGTGAAGGTTTTGTATGCTGGTGAACGACGCCTAGCCCGTCAGGTTTTCAAAGATATGGGACAACCAGTGTGGGTGGAGTGCTTAAATTATGTGGCCCAGCCTGGAATGTCTGCATTTTTCCAATTTGGAGAGAGTTTTTCAACGACCTCACGATCTCCTGAGAAGCTTTGCAATCTGTTGGAAATGTTGGAAGGCATGGAAAAATCTGAGCATAGCGTTATTCAGGTGTTTGATGGCCAGGCTTGCTGTGGTATTCGAAAGAGATACCGAGAGCTCTTGAAACAGGTTCGTTTGGGTAAATCATCACCTTTTTAGCTTATATAACGCTTCTGTTGAAACATCCTACAAAAGTCTATTCGCGTTGCAAATTTGATGCAATTCTGTTTCAGAAGTATTGTCATACATCTATAATTCACAGTTAATAATTTAATCTAAAATCATGGCACTAATTCTCTTCTCTATAAATAAACTCCCCAACAACTCCCTCCCTGATTTTGCTGTACATCTATAGGTTACTTATGGAGCATTCAAGGCATTTTGGGATATGAGCGAATGGGTGGAGGAACAGAAAGAACCTCAAATACATGATGGTGGCGTGATGAGACTTTGTAGTTTCGTGGTCAACTATCTGGACTACCTGGTTCGGGATTATCTAGAGCCAATGAGCAAGGCGCTCAGATGTCAGAAAAACAGGCAGGGTGATGGGGGACCACCAGAGACGAGCTTGGCTCAAGGCATTTTGCTGATTTTCCAAGCTCTAGGACGGCAGATAGAGGCACGGGCCAAGGAGGTGCCAGATCCTGCCCTTCGACACATTTTTATGATGAATAATCTGCAATATATTTACACTCGCGTGGAGAAAAACCGCCTCAAAGACTTCCTTGACGCGTCCTGGATTTATGGCATTGGCCGCAAGGTACCAATCCCGAATCATGTGCGAAATCCATCTGTGGAGGAGGCATATTTCCAAAATTTTCATCACGTTAGTTTGTTGTTCATGTTGATATGAACTTTTTTATTTTGCTGTTTGAGGTTCCATGTAAATGATTGACGAGGAGAATTGTATTCAGGTCGACAATCACACTCTTAAGTACCAAAATGACTTCTGTCAAAAGATCGTTATCCATCTTAACCATGAAGGTCTCGGAGGGTCTTCGATTGGCAAATCATCAGTTCGCTCAATAGTTCGACAAAATTTGAGAGCATTTTCTTCTGCTTTTGATGACATTATCCGGACACAAGGTAATTGGGTGATCCAACATGAAAGTTTGAGGGATTCGACACGGTCGTACATTACACGCAAAATTCTGTCTGTATACAGAAGCTACCTGGAGAACTATGGGCACTTATTAGGACATTTCTACTCGTCGAATAAGTTTGTGAAATACACTCCAGAGATGGTGGAACAATTGTTGGATGGTGTATTCGTTCCGAAGAGACGGAGCAGCAGCACCCTTTCACTGTCAAATGATTCGTGATTATCAAAGTTGTGTGAGCACTACATCTTTGTGATGGTTATTTATCATTCGCCCTGCCAAGTGCAGAGCGTCTTGTACATAGTGCAAGCTGAGATTCGATATGAAGCTCATCATAGTTCTTGACTCACTTGTAGCAATGTTGATTTATTCATTTTAAACTATTTCAGCATTTGTAAGACCTCAAGTCAATGCTCTCTACAGTGAAGCTCGACATGGCTGTGGATTTGCAGCGTTTCATTGTTGCGCACTCAGACGTTTCCACTATATTAATTTGAAGAACGGGCCACAACTATGACTGGAAATTATCTTTTTGAGAGTCCTCTATGTTGAGAGGACTCTAATTTAACGTAGCAGTGGTCTTTCCCCGAGTGATGTTTTGGAACCATTAGTTGAACTGCTTGTGGCAGGAGGTGCCACCAATGCAGATTGGATGCTTACCTCTGCTGTGGGTAAGTTTCAAGTTTACCTTTTGGTTGAATTCATTTTTAGTTTAGAAAATTTCCTTGCCTGTATACATGTACTGGACCGAAGTGATTCCTTAGCAGGCAATGGAATTATTTGAGGGCCAGGTGATAAAAGATTCTGTACTCCATTAATGTGCATTCACATGTGTGTGCCCTCACATACAGCGATGGATAATCATTGTGTATGTGTGAGTGAATAACGTATAAGTAAAGGACATTTTAGAAACCATTGTATACTAGAGAAAATTAGTTACAAAAACCTATGTAAATTGTTTGGAAGTAGTCCTCATTAAAATATGGTTCAATATTTTGTATTGAAAATTCAAACCCTTATTTGAATATTTGAATATACAAAACGAAGGTAAAGATTTTCATCTTGGTTGTTAAATTCCTAACTTCGTTTCATATCTTTCTCTCTCTCTCTCTATATATATATATATATACATATACACAATAACACAATTATGGTTTGATTGATATAAAGATTTATAATAATATTAATAGAAAATTACAACTAAGGTTTTAATACCTTATTGTAGAAAATTAGTTCAAAGTACAATTAATCTGTGTCTTTTAATATATATATATATATATATATATATATATGTATATATTGATTTGTCACTATTTAGTCTTAAACAATCAATTCATTATATGAAATTTTATAGTTCTATTGTATTTTTTGGACTATGTGAACTTTAAGCAATTTACATGTCAACTAAGATTGGTACTAGTTATGTAGAATAACTTAGTCTATAGGTAATTCTTTTATTAAATTTTGCCTAAGTAAGTTTCTACAATATGCTACAAAATTTTGATAAATTATTTTGAATTGTTATTTTAGCTTGTTTTTCTCTCTATACTTTTATATTTTTGAAAAGTGCATTACATTGGATCCAAATTAAATACAAGTATATATCTTTATAAATGGACCAAATCGTTTTTAATTGCTTTAGCTTAGATGGAATTTATGTTGTAAAAATATCATATGTCCATCAAAAGCCTTTCTAATGCTCCAATTTTTTAGAACTTATGGAAATTTCAAACATGAATCAAGCTATCTAATTCCATATTTGTGTTTTAAAATGCTATTACCAAATTTGATATACTATTGTTTTTATAAGGTATGACAAACAAAATCAATAAACTGGAGTATTATTTTTTTTCAATTATATATTTTTAATGTTGACAACTGGACCTTAATAATTTATGAAAATATTTAAGAATATAAGATACATATTATATTCAAAACATTGTATTTTTTTACCAAAATAATTTTAAAATAAAAAGTTATTTAAATATTTTGTTGTATTAGATACTTTACGGCTTTTGTAACAATTTATAATTGCTTTTATTAGTAGGATTTTATATGCTATGTTGTTGAATTATGTGAAAATCAGTCTAGGAATGCATTAAACATCTAGTAGTGGAAGGATCTAATCTTACCTTGAAGTTGGATTTATAGTCCAAAATAATATATAAGGTATTTAATAACATCTTTTTGGAAATCTTGAATAATTTAAATAATTTTCAAATTATCTTAGGTACACCCTATTAACCTCTATAATTGCTTCTAAAATATATCTTATAACATTCAAATTAATTCCATGTAAATCTTAAATAATCTTTAAAAACCATAATTATATTCTAAAGAAATCATAATTAACCTGAAAAAATCCTAAAGACATCCTAACAAATCATAAAGAAATTATAAAGAAACTTAAACCAATCTTAAAAAGATCTTAAAAGAACCTCAAAGAAATCGTAATAATATCTTCAAAAAACCACATTTTATATATATATATATATATATAACATAAAACAACCTTTAAGTAATTCTAAAAAAATAAATATAAATCTTCAAAGAATCCTATTAAATCCTTAAAAATCTTGAAGTAAGTCTTAATAAATCCTAATTGATTCTAAATTGAATCTTAATCAAATTCTATGTCAAAATTAAATCCTAATAATTTTTAATTAATCTTTAATATTAATTTAAATTTTACAAAATTCTTAGTTTCTTAGTTGAAAATATGCATAAAAAATTTGAAAAGGATTGAAAATATTAATTGGAAAGAAAAGAAATTAATATGCTTTAGTATTTGTTATTGTATTGCAACATGATGCCAAATAACGTGTTGTTTTCCTTGAGAATGTACAAGATACTTTGTTGTAGAAGGTAAATTAAACTGCAATAATAAATAGGCTCTAAAAACTCTGATATAATCCTAAATAAACCTCAATGAAATCTTAGCAATTTATATCATATCCTAATCAATTCTTCAAAAATATTTAAGAAATTTTAAAAAAGAATCATAAAAATATTATATATATATATATATATATATATATATATATATCTTTACCTTTTAAAGCGATTATAAAGAAATCATAAATAAATCCTAAAGAAATATTTTTTTAAAAAACAATTCCTAAGTAAATCTTAACAATAATGTAATCCTAAAAAAACTCAAAAAAAATTCTAAGTAAATAAGTAAGTAGAAGTCCTTTTTGCAAAAGACAACATTAGGACTTATTAATTTTTCTATCTCCTTGATTATTATCTATATTAAAAAGATAATTTTTTATTATATTTTCAATTAAATTCTTCTATAATATTTTTTTCATCTAATGGTTATATTAAAATACAACAACTATTGAGTGAAAGAAATATATATATATATATATATATATATATATTTATAAATATATATTATAGAAGAGCATAATTAAAAATATAGTAGTAAAATACTTTAAAAAGTGTAGATGAAAATTAAAAAGGTAGTAAAAAAATTTTATAATTTTTTTTTATATATAAGAATAAATTATATCTACTTTGTAGAAGCATGAATAAATAAATAAATAAAACCAAGTAGATTAGAAAAAATAATATTATACACATCGTTAAGTAAAAATAAAGAGTATATTTTACTATAATTTATATATATAAAAAAAAACTTACATTAATACTTAGAAATGACTAGTCATGAACTAGAGGTGAAATTAGACCTTGAAGTACTAAATTTTGATTTTGTCACAAACATACATATTTATCTATAGTGAAGGTATTAGATAGAAGCAAGTAGAAGTAAGTAGATTTTATAATATATTGTACAGAAGCTTCATAGTTGCAAATTTATCTTTAAACATGTTTATAGATGATTGGTAGGATAAAAACTTAGCCAATAAGTTGGCCATATGTTGTATATGTTGATGACTTGTGGTACAAGTTCACCACAAGATGTATATGTAGGAAACTTGTCTTGCAAGTTAAACACATATTCTGTAAGTTAGAGACATATGTGAGGTCTTATAGAATATTACTACGTAGCTCTTAATAAGCTAGTATATATGGAGGTAAGAGTGAGGCATTCTTTACTCTTTTCAATACTTTTTTTGTTCTCAGTCTTATTTCATGAGCATCTAATTTTCTTGTCTTTTGCAATAGTCATTCTAGTTTTAATATGATACTATAGTTGTTTAATTTTCTTTGTATTAAAAATTGTCATACTAGTTCCTATCTATATTATATCTATCTAATTTATTTTTGTATTTATTATATATTCTACCTTTGAGTAATTATCAACTTTTTTTAATGACATAAGAGTATATTGATCTATTAGTTCTTTGTGATTAATATCTTTAAAAACTTCTATAACAAAAATAAAGATGTTTTGTTGATTGGAGAACATTGTTAGAAAGCAAACTTTGTAAAATTTATTTGAACATTAATTTTGAGAGATTTGAGTCAAAAATAACTTTATAAAGGTTTAGTTGTTTTAGGCGACTTTGTTTTTTGTGGAATAAAAAATAAGTTATATTTTAGCAAATTTTTTTAATTTTATATTACATTAACTAGTAAAATTTTGTAGATTTGTGGATGTAGTTTTATTAGATGTGTGTTGTAATATTCAACTTAATGAAATGCTTCAATTATGATGCATTGAGATTTATATGACTTACAATCTCAGAAATTAAATTTTAAAAGTTTGTGAGAGTTTTTACAATTTTTTGCAATTTTCTAGGTAGATTGAAATGAATGTTCTTAGATGATTACTTCTAACTTTGATTGAGGTGATAGATAGAACTAATACATAATAAAAACCAAATTTCTTGTTTCTTTTTCATTTATGCAATAATATTCTTCACTTCTATACAAAAAAATAAAAATAAAATATTAAAAAAATTATTTTTTGATAAAAAAAGATTAAATTTTAATATATTATATATCTTATTGTATTTTCAATAACATCAATGTAAATAAATTTTGAAAAGATAACACATCTATGTATTATAAAAAAAATAACAATAAATACAAAAATAAATTAGATAGATATAATATAGATAGGAACTAGTATGACAATTTTTAATACAAAGAAAATTAAACAACTTAAATTAAAATTAAAATTATGAAATAATAATAATAATAATAATAATAAAATAAACATTTGTAAGATGAATAATGGTTATATTCTTTTCTTTATAGATATTAACTTTTAAGAAGGTCTTATCAAAGATTCTTAACAACCAAGAGGTTTATAGTCTAATTATCTAAGTTATAATTTGATTCTAATAAGGCCATCTAAAAGTAACAAATTATAGAACAAGTTTTAATAGCCACATAATATATTCAAAAGTATTTCAAAATCTCATCTACATCTCAAAAAATTCCTTAGAGTTTATAGATAAAAGAATCTTTTTTTTTAATAAAATTCACATGCTTCTACTTATTCTTACTTATTTAAATGATATAGGCATCTATTTTAATTTTTAATTTTTTTGAATATATATATATATATATATATATATATATAGATAGATAGATAGATAGATTTGCAACAATGCTAAATAGTCTTTAACTTATTAATTTTATTCAAAAAAAAGTATGTAGAGATATTTAGATGATTAAAATTGATTAAAATATTTATATATATATATATATATATATATATATATATATACTTAACATAATTTAAAACCTATGTTATAAGCTTCTAAGTTTTACTAGATTAGAATACAACACATAACTATGGCTTTCAAATTTTATGGTTGTCAAGTCTAACTCTCAAGACTTATTTTAGATAGATTTTTACTTATAAGACTATTTATTGAAACTTATTTAATTAATTTTTTAATGTAATTCATAGATAAATCTTTATGCTTTCTAAACCAAAATAAAAGTAAGAATTCTAAATGGATTATAAATTAGAGATAGTGTCATGTTTCTAAAATATAACAACTTTAATATTGTGCAATATAAAGATAGAAGCACTAAGATTTGAATTACTTCTTTAAAATCTAAATTGAAAATAAAAAAATATGTTTTT